CCGGTCGGGCGCCCTGACCGCTTAGAACCCAGCCCGCCGCGCCGGCCCGGTGGCTCGGGTAGCGCCGCCTGCGAGCGGAAGGCTGGAGAGCGGCGCAGCGGTGCGCGCTTAGCCGCCTCGTCGCTGCTCTTACTCCCCCGGGTGCCGGGATCGAACCCGCGCTCTTCCCCGCAGCGGCGCCTCAGCCCTTTGAAATCTGTCTTGGGACGGGATCTGCCGTAATTGTCTAGGCTGGCTTTGAATTTGCAATCCTCCTGCCTCAGCCTCCGAGAAGCCGGGATTATAGGTATGTGTCCCTATGCCCGGGTCCCAGAGTAACTTTTTGGAAGAAGCAACAGTATTTTCCCTTTGAGAAGAGGACGCGGGCCTGGGATGTAGAGTTCAGAGGTGGGGGTGCCTGCGTAGCATGTGCCTGGCCCTGAGTTTAATCCTGAGTACCACCGGGGGGGGGGCGGGGGGAGGGGGTAGATGAATTTTGACCCCGCCCCCGTATTTTAAAAATAGATTTTATTTTTAGAGCAAGGCAAAATGGAGCCAGAGGTGTAGTTTCCCATAGGCCCTCAGCCCCTACAGAAACTGTCAAAACCCCCTCCCCAGAACCGTACATTTGTTGCCGTGGATGAACTTCTGACACCATTGATACTCCAAACGCACGGATTACTTGAGGGTTCGCTCTAGGCACTGTACAGTCTGTGGGTTTGACAAGTGACCCTTTGTTTTAGCAAGAACTTTTGAGAGTTGTGGAGAACTAAGATGGGTGTTGTCATTTAAAAAAAAAAAGCTGAGGGTGTAGCCCACAAGTAGAGGAGGCCAGAAGCCCTGGGTTTGAGCCCCAGCTTCACAATTTAAAAAATAAAAAATAAAAAATTGAAAGGAAATATTTTGAATATCTTAAAGAATTAATTTTTAAATAGCTTCCCTGTTGTAAAAGTAGGTGTTTATGCTCTCAGCTTCTTACATTTGAATTATCAACAAAGAACAGTTTCTTCTTGTATATTAAGAAAAGATACCTGCAATGTGATGGCGCGCACCTGTAATCCCAGCGCTCAGGAGGCTGAGGCAGGAAGATCGCTGCGAGTTGAGAGGCCAGCTTGGACTACAAAGTGAGTTCAAGGCCAGCCTGGACTACATAGTGAGACATTGTCTCAAAAAGACAAAAAAAAAAAAAAGAAAACAGAAAAACAGGAGAAATATTTTGTAGAATAACAACATCATTTTTTCAACTAAAACTTACTGAGATAGCCGTGTTTTCTAAAAAATTGTATGTTAACCAGTGAAGCCAGAGGAAATGGAATATTTTAAGTACTGTACATTAACTTTTGTATGCTGATACAAAGCTGTGTCCACAATAAAACAGGACTCAGTGGATCCTTTCTCTGTTCTCGGGGCTTTTGTGGAGGTGACGGATAAATACTGCACTCACCTCAGTTGTGGGTTAGAACTCCAGTTCCTCACTTGGCTGTGTGGCCCCAACAAGACGTTAGCTGAACTCGTTTTCTTAGCTCTGAAGAAGGGAGAAAAATAACACGATTTGCTTCTGTCTTCTCAGAATTGTAAGGGTTAATCATTCTTGTGTGTGTGTGTGTGTGTGTGTATGGGTTTTATACGCCATAATCCACTGTCTTATAAGTTGTTATCACTCGTCAGCCCCTGCAGTTTAGAATGTTGTGGGTATAGTTCATTATCTGGCAAAGGCTGCTTATGTAAATACTGTTGCCCCGTTTGCGATGATTGGTTGTACAAGAGTACATGGTTTGGTTATCAGTGATCTGATTGGCTCTTGTAAATCAGAGGTAGAATTATGAAACAGGATTGGAGAGACCTGTATATTGTTACATCCAACCTATGGCCTATCTTTTTTCTTCCCTCCATTTATTTATTTGTGAAGAGGCATTGTCTTGGGCCAGATATAAAAATATGTAATGTAGTTAATGTAGCTAAGTACAAAATTGACTTCACTGTAATGCTTTTATTATAGCATTTAAAAGGGGGCAAAAAAAAAAAAGATGGGCTATGGGTTAGATACAGCTGGGAGGAAATTTTTTACTGCTTCTCTAAGATTTTTCACCTGTAGCAATGGCTATGCTTAGAAGTGGTCTTCTAAGGGTCTGTGAGCCCTGGGTGCACTGGTGTTTCCTGGAAAGAAGACACCTTCAACAGGGGTCCAAAAGGAGTTTATGATCCCTCCCCCCCGCCCCGCCCCCAAAAGTTCATAAGAACCACCAGATTCAACTAGGCACATTGCTTTACTAAAAATTTTGCACATTATTTTAAAAATTCATTTTTGGGGAAAGAAAAATGAACAGGTATTTCTGAAGCATTGAGGTCCCCTGCCCTCAGCAAGTCCAGAAGAAAAAATTGAGGTTTTCGTGGTACAGAAGCTTAGGAATAGTAGTTCTGTATCTTCCTTCTGGGGGTGACACACTGATCATTAAATGCCACGCATTCCTCACTTCCCTCCCGACTTTGATAGGCAGTAGAACAGATAGTTAAAAAAAAACAACTTATGGTCCAGCCTGTTTGGATACCTAAAATGCTTGTACTAGTTACTTGTTGCTCGGACAAAATAACATGTCCAGTGAAAAGACGAAAGGTTTCAGTCGTAGTTGGCCTGTTCCAGGCAGGGCAGCATGGCAGAGGGCACGGGAGGGGAGAAGCAGGCAGGAGGTAGCCAGCCTTCCTTCTGCTTTCTGTTTTATCCCATCCTGACTACAAGTCTCTTTCTTGACTGGTTCCACTCACACCCAGGCTGGGTCTTCCCTCTTCAGTAAGTCCATCGTCCACGCCCAGAACTGTGCTAAGCCAATTGGTGGACAAGTCCAGTATCAACACCCATGATCCAGTCAGTCCCCAGAAGTCTCACCTAGGAGTACATGAGGCTTTGGGGAACATCTAGGTAGAAGCTATAACAATGCTAAAAGATAATTTGGTTTATTCTTTTTCTTTCTGAGAAAGGGTCTCACTATTTAGCCCAGGTTGACCTAGAATGCATGGTGATCCTCCTGCCTCAGCCACCACATCCAGCTAATTTGGGTTATTCTAAAATGTGAACTTTTTTTTTCTTCACCAAAGCACTAAGTGCTAAAAACCATTAAATATTTTCATCTTCCAAACTAGATGTTGGTGCGTCTGTATAATATTTCTTGCATATCAAAGAGCATTATGTTATGGGATATGAAATCCTAACTGGTGATCGTTTTGGCTTTTAGTAGAACTGGTTTGGAGAGACTCTGAAGATAGACGTTTCCTAGAAATTTATAATGTATTTGTATAGACTAGGTTATAATCGCTGGTTTTAATTTGTAACAACCTTATTTGCGTGTTTGGGATTTGAGAACTGGGATGTACACTGAGCGTGAATTTGTTCTTCTTTAGAGTTGGGAAGTCTCAGCACCCTGTTTTCCTCCTGCAGCCGGAGCCTCCTGGGCTGTGAGACCTCACAGCGAGTGCAGCTCGGGTTACAGGCTCGGTTACCAGCACACCCGCAGGCTTGGGCGAGTGAGGTGGATCCAGTGATGCTGCCCACACCCGTGAGTGACTCTTTGGGAGTGATGTTGTCTTTCCCTGGAGATCTTTTTCTTCCCTGTGATGTTAGTCATTATTTTGGTTTGAAATCTAAATGGTTTTCGAAGTTCTAAATCAGTACTTGACCGCATTAGCACAGTTCTGGCACCTTAGACTTGCTCTCTGTGAAAATAGTCAGGGGGTGGACTAGAGGTGAACGCCAGCGTTTTCATACAAAAGATTGTCCGCCAGGCGTGGTGGGCGCGCCTGTAATCCCAGCACTGGGGAGGCTGAGGCAGGAGGATTGTTGCAAGTTAAAGACCAGCCTGGGCTACAAGGTGAGCTCAAAGCCAGCCTGAACGGCATTGTGAGACCCTGTCTCAAAAAGACAAAAAAAAGACAAGATTGTCATTACACGGCGTCTTCAGTCGTATGTAGAGGGTTGCTTAACTAGAGTAATGAATGAGTTCAATTAGGTCTGGATGGGCAACAAAGGGTAATCATTTCAGCAAAAAACAAAACACCTAGGAGAATGCCATCGTTTTGAGATCAGTGATTTTTATGGATATTCCCCTTTTTAGGGGGAGCAGGGATATTCTCCTCTTAAACGTTAAAAAATTCTAAAACATTTCCTGCACGGTGAGAACCTGAGTTCTGGGGAAGTCACTTCCCGTAGGCACCTGTGCATAGAGCTAGGGTTGGTGCCGCCTTCCTCTGGCCTGGTTGTAAGACTTGAACTTCCCTAGTCAGGTGTACCTGTGTTGGATCATGAACATTGCTGTTTAGTAGCTGTGAGACTCTGGGACAGTTTCTTGCCTTCCCTGGGCCTTTTTGTCTACAGGTGTAAAAAAAAAAATAGGGATACAGTGATTAATCTCTGTTGTCAATTTGTTCCGAATTCATGCTCAAAAACTAGAAGTTTGAGAACTGAACATAGTTTTCCCATTAGAAATAATAACTGGTCTGCCTGGCAAGCATGAGGTGAGTTCGATTTCTGGTACCTAAAAAAAAAAAAGATCTAATAATTAGTTCAGTGACCCCAAAATTACACCTACAAATTCTTTTTCCCAGGACTTAAATTTCGCAGTGATTTCTTTCTTTAACTCTCTCGTGGGTCCTACAGTTTTTCTCTTACCTGTACTGCTGGTGTCACTAACTTTCTTTGGAGCCGTGGTTATGGTATTTTAGGAAAACAGCGCCAAGAAGAGCACAGTGACGAAGGGTTTAATGCACTAACACAAGCACTGTATGACACACCACCTCCCCTTTGTGTCCTCAGGGAGACGCAACGCGTGACTCACTCTCAGCCTGTACAGGTTTTTTGAAGTCAGATTTTTGGTTGACTGTTGGGCAAAGTTACCAACATTGAGCAGATTTTTTTTAAACTGTGCTGTTGGTACCACTGTACTTTCTTCAGATTGTCCTGAAGAGTGAAATGGATACCTGATAATGTGAGTCGTGGTAGCCGTGGCAGCAGTTACATAGATAGATCGATAGCTTGTGTGCCAATTTACCAGCTCATCTCAGCTTTACGAGAATCCTATGAAGTTGGTAGCTGTTTTCCTCATGTTTACAGATGGAGAAGCCAAAGTGAAGCGAAATTAAGAAAAGTTTATATATAGTTTAACCAAAGTCATACAACCCATAAACAGATAGTAAACACCCAGTTAATGCTGGCAGTTACACTAGTTTTTTTTTTTTTTAAAGTCTTTTGTTGAAAACTATTCTTGATAATTGCATGTCGGTGGGAAGGTTGTGTTCCTGACCAAGCACTCAGGATTACATAATTTATAAAAGTAGTAACATCCATTCACTAAATGCTTACAGTGTACTAAATGCGGGGCAAATACTTCACTTGTATTACTTCATTTAATCTTCATAACAACCTTAAAAGAAAGCTAAGATCCAGCGTAATTTTAGGTGACTTACTTCAGCCTTACTTGAGCCTAATAGAAAGTCACAAACTGGCTGTAAAATCTCTGCTTTTTAAAAAACAAACAAGATAACAGCTGGCCCCAGTGACACATTGCCTGTAATCTCAGCTGCTTGGGAGGCTGAGGCAGAAGGATTGCACATTCAAGGCCAGCCATATAATTTAGTAAGACTCTGTCTCAAAAAAAGAAAAGGAGGCTGGGGATTTAGCTCAGCGGCAGAGCGCCTTGCTTGGTAAGCAAAAGGTCCTGAGTTTGATTCCCAGCACCAAAAAAAAAAAAAAAGAGGGGGCTGGAGGTGTAGTTTTGTGGTAGTGAGCCTCTAGGTTCAATCCTTAGTACTGCGTACCACAAAACAACAAAAACAGGGCAACAGTTTTTTACCTTTAAATGGGAATAAAAGTATTCTTACAGTTAAGAACTAGAAAGAAACAGCAGGATTAACAAACTATAGGGAAAGCCCGGCTTATTACCTGGTTCTGTAAATGAAGTTTGGAACATAGCCTCGCTCATTCATATATGCATTATCTTTTTTTTTTTTTGGTTTTTCTCCGGTACCAGGAACCGAACTCACGACCTTGCGCTTGCCAGGCAGGCGCTTTGCCGCTGAGCTAAATCCCCAGCCCCATATATGCATTATCTATGAGGGCTTTCCTGTTTCGTGGCAGAGCTGAGACTTTATACCCTGCAAGGCCTGAAGTAGTTACTGTTCGGCCCTTTACTAGAAAAGACTGCTGACTCCTAACCTAGAGCAATCCTGTCCTGATGAGGAGCCCAAGGCGCAGAGATTAGGTAGCTTCTGAGACTCGTAGTCATTAATAGCAGTCCAGTTCATTTCTGCTGTAGCACGCTGCGGCTTTCTAAGTCCCGTGAAGTCAGTAAGTGCGCTAGCTGATCTTTTTACAGAGACTTGAAAGTGCTACGAAATGTGTGTGACATTTATGAGTGTTTACCCTAGTCAAAGCAGACATGCTAGCTGGAATAATAGTAAGCATTTATTCATCTCCCTTTCTGTCCTAGAGTTTGAAGAGCTCTATATTGTATATGACCCATACCTTAACATTCTGGGAGGCTCTTGTGTATACAGTTCAAAAGCAGGGATCATACCGCTTGTCTGGCTTTCTCTGCCTACCTTACGTCATTGGTGAGGTTTTAAAGCCCTGAGGCAGTGTGATCAAATCTGAATCACAGTGACAGGCAGTGGGGAGAGGTTCTATGGGAGAGGAAGAGGCTGCAGGGAGGGCCTCAGGGTTCCTGCCCAGGGCTGGAGAAGCGAGGCTGGCAGTGTGAGGAATTCAGGAAGTGGGATCTGTGAGACTCAGTTGTATTGGGCAGAGTAGAAAGGAGACAGGAGACAAGGGCCCCGGGCTCCCTAAGAGGCTCTTTTTATTTTTCTCCCGTGGCTGCAAGTGCTTTACAGCCAGGTGGGCAGTGTCGGGCCCCACGGCCTCCCCTGCACGTGTGTGTTCCAGCTGTGGCAGGTCCCTGTCGCAGAGGACTGCCTGGCAGCCCTCCTCAGGTCCACGAGGTACTCTTCCCGTACCCGTGACAACGCCCCCACCATAGACAGGCTCCCAGGCCCAGCATGGGTCAGGCGTGCACCGTTCCTCCTCGTACCGCAGTGCTAGACCATGAGGCCTAAAACAGAGAGTTCCTGTCTGTGCTGATGCCTTTGTTTAGTAGGATGTGTTAGCTGGTTACGCCAAGGACCGCTAGTGTGAGAGGGGCTGGCACCAAAGACAGCTGGCAGCCAGAGGGTGACGGAGAGCAGCAGAGAAGGGCCTGAAGCGGCTGCCTGTAGTGGCGGAGAGTTCTGAGGCCTGCTGGTACAGCCTGCCCAGAGTGAAGGAGGCTGGGGATATCAAAGCCCAGGGCTGCTGATGCGGAGGAGCTGCATGTTGTCAGTGTGTGACCCCTATACAGATTGAGTAAGAACCCACAGCCAGCTTGGGACATCCTAGAAGCACGCACAGGGACCGTCTCTTCAGGGGGCGTGAAGAAGGAGGCAGAGGACAGGGACGGTTGCTGGCCGACTCAAAAATTAGCTGTGTGTGATTTTCACCGTACCTGTGGCCAGGACTTCACAGGATGGGAGCTTGGAGTCCATGTGTGCTAACACCTTCAGTCGTTTCTGACACCCAGGCTAGTTCAGATTCTCTCATAGTATCCTGAGTATCTCTAACATTACCTTGATCACATTGTTATTACGTGCCGTGTCCATCTGCATGATTCAGGATTCTGAACAGCTCAATTTTAGTTTTTCGCAGCACTGAAGAGTGAAGCCACGGCCTTCACTCTGAACTACATCCTCAGCTCTTCTTTTTTTTTTTTTTTCAGTTTTCGAGCTAGGTCTTGAATTTGAGAGCTTCCTGCCTCAGCTGCCCCTAGTGCGAAGATGACAGGCACGTGCCACTATGCCCAGCTTAGACTTGAGATACTTTAAAAAAAAATTATTTTAGTGTGTACATTTCTTCAAAAGAAAAAGATAAGAGATGGGTGGGGTGAGGCATTCCTAGAATTTCTTCACCGTAGAGCCTCTTGGGAAGATTGTGTCGGGGTTGTCTTTCTTCCATCTAGTGAGCCGTCAGTCCGCCTGCAGCCCCACCAATGAGCCACTGCTAAGTGTGCTCTGCCTTCCGAGTGATTTTCTCAATCACAGCACCGTCTACCACTGTTGCAGCCAGCCCTCCCCCACAGGTGTGCATTCTGTGTGTGCCTGCGAGTGTGTTGCAAGATGCACTTTGTCTGTCGTGGTGTCCGTCTTTCTCAAGTTCCATAAGATGGTGCTCTTTGGACTTTTGCTGGTGAGGGGCCAGTTCAGGGACCAGTACTTTCTTTTTTTTTTTTTTTCTTTTTTGGCCGTACTGGGGATCAAACTCACGACCTTGCGCTCGCCAGGCAGGCGCTTATGCCACTGAGCTATATCCCCAGCCCCAGGACCAGTACTTTCATAAGAGATGCCAGAAATGAAATTTTATAAAAGACATGTAGTACAGACCAACTCTTGACTATTATATTTCACAGATACAAAATCAGTCTTTCAGGTATTACTTTCCTAGAAAGATTTTTGGTTTTTGTCTTTTTCAGAAAGGGTC